GTTGACCGTAACCAGGTGTCATCAAGCTGAAGTCAAAGTGACTGAAGGAGTTGATGATGTTGAAATGGAACCAGGTATAGATTTTAAATCAGAGCAAGAGAAAGCCCAAGGTTTGAAGCCAATAATTGATTTTCTAAAACTGGCAACCAAAGTTCCCGACCAAACATCAACTTTGCTGGAGTGTATCCAGTGGCTTCATGCTCTGCTGTCCTATAGGTCATCAACAGTGAAGGGAGTAAGACATCCCAGTCAACATGGCGACTAGTACAAAATTTTGCCAATTCCTGTCCCAATATCCAATTGTACTTTTCTACCATCCCATCGGACTGTGGGTGAAGTGGCATTGTGCTGGTCTTTCGGATGCCAAACAACTTGCAGCATTCTTGCAACACAGCTGATTTGAAGTTATGGCCTTGATCTGAATGCAGTTCATATGGCATACCAAATCTGAAGACGAAATCACTAATAGCCGAAGCTACAGTTGTAGCTTCCTGATTTGGTATTGCGCTTGGTGAAATAATCCATCACCACACAAATGTACTTGTTTCCAGCACGAGTTTGGGGCAGAGGACCAGCAATGTCAATGGCTACTCTTTCCATTGGTGCGCCAACTTGATATAATTTCATTGGAGCACGTCCCTTATGCTTAGGTCCCCTTTCAGCACAACATGTACTGCATGTTCTGCACCATTCTTCCACATCTTGCCTCATACCTATACAGTAAAGTCTCTGTCTTGGGTGACTCAATGTTTCCTTAACTGCGCGATGTCCTCCTGTTAAACTATCATCGGATTGATGCAGCACAACTTCCTGTAACTTCCTCGGTATAATTGTTTGCCAGGTCATCACTTTCCCATCTGCAGTTTCTCATCTCTGGAGAAGAATACTATCTTCAAGCTTCAACTGGTCCCATTGTGCCCAATAGTTCTTCACAGGGCTTAAGCTAGACACCTTCTCTCAAGCAGGGCGCAAAACAGTTGGGATCTGTTAACAGGACGCCCACCTCATGAAGAGTTGCCTGAAAATGTGTCAGAGTTTGTGAAAGTGTTATCGGAAAGGAAGGATTTTATTCACCATCAACTGCGTTCAAACTTGAAAACGTCTGCTGATTCGATGAAGTTAACTTATGATAAGAGATCTACTGAAGTCAACTTTGTACCTGAAGACAAGGTATGGTTGTATAATCCCAGGAAGACCAAAGGGAAGTCTCCTAAGTTGTCTTCTCCATGGGAAGGCCCATATGACATATTGGGTCGTCTCTCAGACGTGACTTTCCGGGTAAAATGTGGTCAGCAAGGTAAGCCAAAAGTGGCGCATGCCAACAAGCTTTGACGTTATCACAGTCCAGGACATTTCAGTTGGGACGAAGTGGACAACAGAACAAAT